CGTCCTGCCTTCAGGCGCTTTGGAAAATAGTTCTTAGTCTCCTTTATCGGAATTTCTGAGAAAGATAACTATCTTCTCTTTGTTGCTTCTCTCAAATCTTTCCAACATAGCCTGGTTATTCTAACTAGGTTTATGGTACTTTTTCTTTAAAAGACCTTGGACTGAAACCCTGTAGATTTACAAGGTTTCAGTCCAAGGTCCTTTTTAAAGAAAAAGTACCATAAACCTAGTTAGAATAACCAGGCTATGTTGGAAAGACTTGAGAGAAGCAACAAAGAGAAGATAGTTTTGATTATTGGCATCTTTCTCCTATGTGCATATATTATAGCCTTCTGTAACACCTAGCAGTTCTTCAGTTATTTTGGATTATAGTCTCCATATCTCCTCTCTGAAGAAAAAAAATATCCTACTTTGGACATCAACCACATGCATTCAAAATCTCTATGTTCCCTGAATCAAAAGGCTTCCCTATTTATGCTTCAGTGTTGAACTTAGCTAACCATGGCCTATTGTAGCACACGAATTCAGTCACTGCACATTTCCTTGAAGAACCCCAAAATCAAAACTGGAATAAAAATCACAGAGAATGAGATGTAAGTGAAGATAACAAGTCAACCCTCCTTCCAACCTACATTTTATTATGCACTAGAATTAGTTCCACAGCATTGATTGAATATTGCACAATAAGAATAAGCAGCCACTACGGTATTACATTCTTCCTTTAAAAAAAAAAAAATAACAGACCTTCATTCTGAACAACCACAACGGTTAGGAAAAATTAAACTTATCTCATTCATAGTTGCAGTGAAAAGTTGTTCATCGTCACATAGCAGTCAAAACCAGGACTCATTCTTAAATAATTGTTTCAAATTTATATATTTACATCTACTGGGTAGAAACATTAAAAATCCAATTTTTTTTTAAAAAATGACTTCGATAGACCGGCCTTTTCCATTTTTCCTTACTCTATATGCAGTGTCTACCGTAGCAACTTTAAGATATGTAGACTTCAACTCCCAGAATTCCTCAGCCAGCCGTGCTGACTGGGAAATTCTGGGAGTTGAAGTCCACATATCTTTAAAGTTGTCAAGGTTGAGAAACATTGTTCTATTCTAACTTCTTCTAAAAAATTCCTAAAATGGAGGGCAGTCTCAGCTTCTGCTAATGGATTCAATGAATGTCAATAGGAACTTCAATTTTACCCTCCTTAATTTTTTTTTTAACCTATCATTGTTAAGATCAACCCTGTTGGCAATATTTCAGCTTAAACACACAACTATTGTGTAATAGCCAATATTTCAGCTTAATACACAGCTATTTTGTATTAGCCTGCAACTTCAGATAGCGACAATAAAACTCCAAGCATCAACTACTTTTCCAGTTGGGCCTGTTCTTTAGTGTGCTGAACTCCTAAATTTCACTTAAGGCATAGTCAAGTTACTTTATCAACCCATTGGAATGCATCTTCAAAGTGGTGCTCAAAAAAGCCCTCGGTTGATATCCTTCTCAAAAATAGTATTAGGGAGCTAGGCGTATATCTATTTAAAGCAGTGTTTCTCAACCTTATCAACTCAAAAGATGTGTGGACTTCAGCTCTCAGAATTCCCCAGCCAGTATGCTGGTTAGGGAATTCTGGGAGTTGAAGTCCACACATCTTCCAAGTTGCTGAGATTGAGAAACACCGATTTGAATTGAAACCTGGCAGGGATTAGGGATTTGGTCAACAACCAAACTGGCTGATCTCTTTCCAAACTCTTATTTACATTAGCATATTTCTCTACAGATGATTGTATTAGGAAATCCCCATCTTTACTCTAATGCTCGGCAGGTGTAGAAAACGATACCCAGTTACATCAGATCTTGCAAAACAGAAGCTGGTTTTCGATGGATCCGTTCCATGTCACCAGGGCTGAGATTAGTTTCAAGGTTATCCATGGGAGGTTTCTTTCCACAGCATCGGGTGCCATGTCAATGGATGGCTTTTTTTGGTCGTTGGCAAGATGCTAGCGTTTAGTGTGGGAAATTCTGGAAATTGCCATCCTACTTCATTTCCATGTTCCATTTGGAACGCCGGAAACTGCAAAATCCAGTTGCCCGTGGTGATTTAATCCTGCATCTGTGGAAGGCTTCAAAAATAGGCCGAAAAGCTGTTGTCTGAAATCTTTTGTGCAAATCTCGGTCTGTTTATAGAACAACTGTCGGTATTCTTCTCTCTCAGTTACTGCTTTCCACCCTGTTCCCAATCCTGGGCACTGAGTAATGTTTTTTTTTTTTTTTTAAATGTTCTGTTTGTTTAAACCAGGAGTCTCCAAACGTGGTAACTTTAAGATGTGTGGCCTTCAACTCTCAGAATTCTGGGAGCCAAAGTCCAAAAGTCTTAAAGTTACCACATTTGGAGACCCCTCGTTTAAACCACCTCAAAGCAGAGTAGAAAATAGGATTTTAAAACCTTATCGTGTAGCATTGCTTCTACCCCACCCTGTTAGATTTATTCATTTACCCTGTTATTTTAGCATCACCCGGAGGTTCAATAATTTATTTAAGAATTAAGTTTCTGACTAGCTGTGTACACTGTCAATTCACAGAACATTACAAACTGGCCTATAGCCTGTTTCTCATTCATTGGGCTTTAAAGTAATTGGCAAGAGAACCACGTTGATCCTGCATCATTGCGGCCAACAGTTCTATTACTTCTCCCAACGTAGGTGAGAATGTCAACCATGGGGCATTACTGTGCTTACACATTCACATTTTTAAAACAAAACAAGACAAAACGAATCCTCAGTCTTCGCAACAGAAGAGCTGCAGAACCATCCTGTTGTTTCTCACAATAGCTCATAACTAAGCCAGAAACCTGGGCAGAAGTTTGAGTGGGCTCCAAGAACAAGTAGGCACATGATGTGTTCTTCAAAAACCTTCCGATCCTTGCAAATTGTACAACCCGGAAACAGTTTTGAGCGGGTAGTTGTTGCTTTAAGTTGGGACTGCTCAACTCTGGATTCCTAAAGGCTACATTGTGAATCCACAATGTCCATTCTGGGACCCTTTTCTGGGCGACGGCGCCCTCGGTCTCCAAGTCCTAGTACAATGAACTATCGGTATTGAAGAGTGTGAACGGGGTTGACAGTTTTTTCTTAATGGCAGAGGTTCCACTGACAGCCGAAGGCAGGCAGAGGGTGCTGGCAGCTTTTTGTCTGTTTTTGGTTCCCCAACTCAAGAACGACGGTTTAGGCGTCACCTTCTTGGCCGTGTCGGTTCTCTCGTCTTCCATGGCCAGACATATCAGGGAGTACGTTTTCTGCATGCCCGCTGAGTAAGTGGCACATTTGTTGTGCTGTAGGGGAAAGAGGAAGAGGGACCAGCATTTTAAAAAAATAAAATAGATTCAGTCAACACAAAAGGGGAAGCAACGTTTAAACTACAGGTAGCCCTTGACTTACCGCAGTTCAAAGTTACAACGGCACTGGAAAAAATGACTTATGATCGCTTTTCACACGACCATTGCAGCCTCCCCATGGTCATGTGATCAAAATTCAGACACTTGGCAATTGACTCCCATTTATCACGGTTGCAGTGTCCCTGAGTCATACAATCCCCTTTTATGAAGACAATGGGGAAGCCAGATTCACTTAACCGTGTTACTAACTGAATAAGTTAAGTCAGTGATGGCGAACCTTTTAGAGACCGAGTGCCCAAACTGCAACCCAAAACCCACTTATGCATCGTCGGGTGCCGGTAGGTGTGGCCAATTGGGTGGGTGTGGCCCATTGGGTGGGCGTGGCTGTGGTGGTAACAGCAGACTGGGTGGGACTAAAATGTTCAATCAATTCCAACTTTGCAAGATCTTTTTTTTCCCGCGAGAAGTTGAAATTGACTGATTGATTGTACCTTTTTTTTTTTTGCACACGGTGGCGGAGGCCTAAAGCGAAAAGGTTTTATAAAACCCAGCTGAAGGCCTAGGACTGGGGCGACGGCGCGCGTGCCTACAGAGAGGGCTCTGCGTGCCACCTGTGGCACCCGTGCCATAGGTTCGCCACCACGGAGTTAATTGATTCAAGGTCACTGGCAAGAAAGATCCTAGAATGGGGCAAAACTCACTTAACAAATGTCTCACTTAGCAACAGAAAATTTTGGACTCAATTGTGGTCGTAAATTGAGGACTACCTGTATATTCTATGACAGGAGGATATTCTGCTTCTGCATTTCATTACATTCCCCCTGGGCTAGTCTCCAAGTCTATGTAGGTGGACTATTATTAAATTTGGACATGAGATTTGTCTCCTTGTGACATCATTTCTGAACAGGTTTCTTTGCCCAAAGTGAAATTTCCAAAACCCGTAGTTGCAATGAGCAACAAAAATAATGAGGGTCATTTTCTAAGCAAAACCTGTGCAGGAGATTAGAACAATGTCATATTTGCTATAAAATTTTTTTTTTAAAGCAATTAAAAGTTGCAAAGCTTGAAACAATGCTGAAAGAATAGACATTTTGTCTCCCCAGTTCCCAGTTTAGTTTAATCTTTTTTTTTCCCCAAGGAAACCAATTAATCTTTTGTTATGTGCTACGACAATTGGAGTGGAGGGTGGGGTTTTGAGAACTAAAATAAAAAGGGAAATGGAGGTCAGTTTGCTTTGGCTACCCAACTCCAAACAAATCTAGGTGGCTTATGCTTAAAATAAGCAGGAACAATTAAAAAGTAAAAAAGCATCATACAGGGCCAGATTATTGATTAAACATAGTGGATATCTTGCTGCTCTGATAGTCTTGTAGTGAAATTCTGTTCGCAGCTTTACTTACCAAGGAAGGTGTGTTTTCTTGACAGCTGATCACTTGGATCTCAATCTCCTGCTCTTTCAAATTCTGGAGCTTTTCCAAGACGTCACTCGTCCCCAACCATTTGCAATCCGTGCCTTCAACCGCAGTCACGGTGTCTCCTTCTTTCAAACCTGCCAACTAAAAAAACCATGGGGCATTGCTCGGCATCAGCTAAGCCCAGGCAGAATCCGGTAGACTTTCCTAACCAGCTTGAACTGCCCAGCTTCACCATGGAAGTCAGATTAACATGATGGAGGATTTTAAACTACACTCCTATCTCTAATCACACAGGATCCGTGTGGCGCAGTGATTAGAATGCAATACTTCAAGCTAATTCTGCCGACTGCCAGCAGTTCGATCCTGATTGGCTCAGGGTTGACTCAGCCTTCCATCTTTCCGAGGTCGGTAAAACGAGGACCCAGATTGTTGGGGGCCATAGGCTGACTCTGTAAACTGCTTAGAAGGGGCTGTAAAGCACTGTGAAGTGGTATATAAGTCTAAGTGCTATTGCTATCTGTTGATTACAAAGGGATATAAACCTAATCACTCAGCCAATCATTTGGCAATAAACTCCACAGTGCTCAGTGAGATTTCCTTCTGAATCAACAGGTTCATAATTTCATTAATAAATAAACTCCTATATTGTGCTGTTAAGCCCTAATTTTTTTCCCCTTAGATTTGGTTTAGCATGCTAAGTGGATCTAGCCAATTGGGATTTATCTGCTACTCCAAGGTTAAGCAATCTATGATTTAGTGGGATGTATAAACTCAGTCTTCAAGATGTTAACAGAGGATGAAGAAGGATTACTACTCTACTCTTTCATTGCCTACAAGGTACAATCAGGTGCATCTACCGAAAATAGACAAATGTTTAAATTGTACCAATCCAAAGGGTTAGGAAGAATCCCACTTTTCTTTTAGATTATAGTTTACAATAGAGTTCATTTTTCAAATTCATTCAGTAACATCAATATCTGGGAGGGCTTTTCAAATCGCAAAATAAAAGCCCATCAAAGAAAGGTGGTTAAGTATCTGATGGGTTCTAATTCATTTTTCTGTGAGTTGTGTAGAAAATTCCACTGAAATTAACCCTGGCCCCGCGAACAATTCTACGAAGAGAAACCCCTGGATCTTACCGCTGCAGGAGAAGCTGGGTCAATGCAGTCAACCTGTACTGGTGGGCCTCCTTTGACAGTGAACCCCAACATGCCATCTTCACAGCAGAAGTGAATGAGACGAGGGGGTGACCACCTCTGCTTGGCTGAAAACACCGCAGGTGGGCCCTGAGACACAGAGAGCAATAGAGTTAAATTATTCAATTCACATTTTGCAAATGTTAATGTAAATTACAGAGAGCTTTTCTCCCTACAGATATTTCCCCAAAATCTTCTGTTTTCTCCTAGTAGTGTCTATGCAACTGTATAGCAGTTACTAATTTACATGTTATTCTTCATGGGTTCAATAAAGCCCCAACACACATGGTACTTTAACAGTGAAAGGGGGTCTTCTGGCTTTACTAAATATAGTGTTCTTGATTATAATTTGTTCAATAACCCACAGCTGAATAACAGAATAACAGCATTGGAAGGGACCTTGGAGGTCTTCTAGCCCACCCCACTGTGCAAACAGAAAACCCTATACCGTTTCAGACAAATGGAATCTCTCCTTAAAAACCTCAGTATTGGAGCACCCACAACTTCTGGAGGCAAGCCGTTCCACTGATTAATTGTTCTAGCTGCTTGGGGTCATATTACAAATCACAGACATTTTGCAATCCACAGTAGTGGATCCATACAATAGCCTAAGGCAGAATGAACTTTATAGTGATCTGCATCCAGGCCACCGCTGTCACCCTCATGGTTGGATTAAGTTATAAGCCCAGCCATGGTTTGTTGAATCAATCCCTCTGGCTGGCTCCACACAGCATATTAAGGCATTAAAATCTACAAAGGGCTGGGTTTTACACAGCATCCTGTTCATAAGTAGGCATGACCCACTGCTAGTTTGCGGTGAGGAGCCCTCCCAAGGGATAGATTCACATTTCAGGAAGCTGGACATTATTTTCATAGTCATTTTAATTCTGATGCAAGAAGGCATTCACACATATTAAGGGCAACATGTCATAGTGACAGAGCAGTTGGTTCAGACATACCAGCCTTTCGAAGAAGTCTCTCACTTTCACGTTAGAGAACAGAGGAGGAATCAGTTCTATTTTGTGATTTGTGTTGGCTGGAATAAAAGCAAAGCAAATAGAATTATTATCTTTTAACCACTTCTGGGAAGCAAAAAGCATCACGTTTTCTTTTGGTACCCCTCTCCCAATTTCATAGCAGCTGTGTGATGTAGCTTAGCTTGAAGATCACCGCAAAATCTTAAATCTTTGAAGGTTTTTTTCTTCATAGCTTTAGAAGCTCAGCAATCTATATATTCCAAGGGGACTAAACCTGTATCCACTTAGAATCTGAATCATGTTAGCAAAGATTCTGATATTATATTATATACTTTTTTCATTTCTTATGGGACTACTCTTTATGGATCCACATCTACCAAAGCCGAATTTTGCAAATTGGGACAGTTGAAAATATCATGGCTTTAGAAACATTTTAAGATCATATTTTTTCAGGCTGTAAAATACAAGATGATTATGACAGGATCAAAAGAGCAGCAGGGAAGCATTTGCTAAAATTGAGTTCCCTCCATCGATAGGAGCTTGTTAGTTTCTACTTGCAATTTTAAGAGTCTGCTTTGATTTTTGTTAATTAATTCTTAGGCATTTTTAAGTATGCTAAGAGGATAAGATAGATTAATAAACCACCATGGGAACACTTAGCTTAAATGCAGCATTAAAAACCTGGGAATTAATAATACAATCAATAAATGGCAATAGCTGCCTTGAAAGAGTAGCTACCAGCTACTCAACATAAGAATTGAACTGAGGTTTCACCGTTCAAGCAACTAAACAGCTTTAGCTGAACATAAAAATTGAATTGAGACCTCATATTTCTAGCAACTAAGTAGGCTGAAAAGTACAGAAAAAAGCCCAGCAGAAATGGTACATTGTGAGTCATGTCAGCCAGGAGGGTGTTATATGGTAGGATCCAGGATGAGACCCTTTTCTGCTGTGACCCCAATATTCTGGGACATCATCCCCTCTGCCCCATCCCTGGAGATCAAACTGGCCCTTTCCTGCAGGCTTTTCGTAAGTCCCTGAAAACTTGGCTTTGCCAATAGGCACGGGAACCCACAAATGTGCTGTGATAAAGCTGGTGCACTGGCTGTATTGACTGTTTGAATGAATGAGTTTTATGTATTTTATGTTTTTTTTAAAAAAATGTTTATACAATATTTTTCTTGTTGTTAAGTGGTTTAAATGGCAGTGTTATTCTTTTTTTCTGTTTTTATAAGCTGCCCAAGATTATATACTATGTATGAAATTGATAGCTATATAAAATTGGATGATAGATAGATAGATAGATAGATAGATAGATAGATAGATAGATAGATAGATAGATAGATAGATAGATAGATAGATAGATAAAAATACATCGCTAGCTAGATCGATTGATCGATACATGACAGTTGTGATAGATGAATAGATAGAAATGATCTGATGATAGAGATGATATATAGATGATAGACAGATATGATAGAGGATAGATAGATGACACACAGACAGACATCGATAGATGATAGATTTGAATCTATCCATGTGATGAAATGTAGCAAGGAGGCAGATTCCTCGGAGGGAGGTGCATTCCTGAGGAGTTAAAAGACAACTCCATCCGGATATTATGTGTGAGAGAAGAAGAGTGAAGACAGCCCCTCCCAAATAGTTCTCAGAGTATACGGTAGATGCAAATTGTAGGTTGCTCTGTCTGGGCAGATGTTGTCTATAGGTGTGAATCACCACAAGTTATTCTATCTAAACATGGATTCACTCCTGGGTCACCCCAGGCCGAAAAGGACTTACACAGGATATTGGGTGCCAGCACCAAGCTAAAGAAGTCCTCTTGTTGCTCCTGCTGGGTGTATTTGAGAAGGGACCGCTTGTGTGAAACGGACAAAATCTCTTGAAGGATCTCTATATTCCGGAGCTTTGTGCATAAGCTGCAAACCCTTAAGGCTTCTTTGTGATAAAGGAGGGCTCTGTGCAAATGTAGTCTTCCTGGAGAAGGAAAAAAAAGGAAGGAAGGAATGGGATGGATTTTTGCACCATAAAAACCCAGGATTTTTGAAGCCACAACAGCTCAGTCTATCAAGAATCCTACAAATCACCTTACTTAGTGTGATTTGTTACTCTGTGTGTGAACGCAATTATTCTAATCAAGTCAAAGCTGTACAAATTAATGATGATGTGTCTACTACAGCAGTGTTCTTTCAACTTCAACCACTTTAATGGAACCCATGCTGGCTGGGGAATTCTGGGTCCATGCCTCTTAAACGTGCTGAGATTGAGAAACGGTGACTACAGACAAGCCTTTCTTCCCAAAAGTATAGATTTTACCTGTTTGGGGAAGCTAAAATAACATATCCTGAAGCAAAGAAATGCTTGGAGGTTTTAATCCACGATTTTATCAACCGTGGCTACTTAAGATAAGATAAGATAACCTTTATTGTCATTTTTATACTGTGTGGGCACAACGGCACACATCAAAAATGAAATTTAGTTGCTCGCTCTCAAAATGAAACACATACATGACACACCACCTAAACATACTATGAACAACATATGTATATGTATAGACCCACATCCCTACATATACGTAGCAATAAATAGTAAATATTGTCCATCTTGAATATATAACGGAAGGAGGAAGCTTGAGAGTTCGCAAGGTTAATGCTGTATGGAATGAAACTCTTGGCTGAATCTGGATGTTCTGCTTCGGATACCACGAAGCCCCCTCCTCCCAGAAGGGAACAAGGAAAACAGGTTGTGGAGAGAATGTGTAGTGTCCCAGATAATCTTGCGGACCCTGCTCAAGCAACGCTTCTGTGCTATGTCCTGGATGGGCAGGAGGGAACTGCCAATGATCTTTTCGGCCATTCTCACCACTCTCTGCACCGCCTTCCTGTCTGAAGCAATGGATGATATCTTAAAAAAAGTTCACCCTTACCTAGTTGTTTACGCTGGCTTCTATCTCGTAAGACAGCTAAGGGTGTCATCCCCTCGGGCATGTGGTCGTACAGCTGGCCAAAAGCCTTTTCCTGTTGATCTTCATCATCAGTCTGATGTACTGGGGTTGTAAGAACAAATACAAAGGAAAGAGAAGATAAACATCACTTTACTTTCATTTGCTGCCCAGGTGAGATGCCTCCAGGCCCGATGAACAAAGAGGAACACTCAATGGCAACCATCAACTTCAGAACCTGTTTTTCTCCTGGATTATGGCTTCTCACATTTCAGTCTGTTCCGAACATTGTTGGCCAGAAGTGATCTTTCAATCAGCAGGTTAAAAGCCCCTTTTCCAACATTGGTGGACCAGAACGCACCAAGGAAAATAGAGCATTAGGGAAGTCTACTTGTGCCTAATTCCAACGTATTTCCTATTAAGGGCCAGTCAGGTCTAATGCTTTACCTTTTCCATTAAGTAGAAACAATCTTAATGAATTTATAATCCACCTAAGTTTTGTTTTAGGGAGGGATAGATTTTTTTTCCTCTCCTATCTCTTGCTGAAAGCTCACACTCCCAACACTGAACCTTTCCTTTAAGTAGGACTAGGAATATCAAGTCTTTTTATATAAGTTAACGTGAAAAGCAATGCATGTTTGCCATCTTCCTGTTATCCTCACTGTAGTTCAGACAATGGGTCTTTAGTCTAAAGCATCTTACCAGACCTAAGGCTGCAATTGTGCTTCATTAGCAACGTTCCTCAATCATAATAGAAGGAGAATAATAGAATGCATTGAAAGGCTGAGCAAAAATGGAATTCTTTGGTGGGGAAGTAAAATCAGCTATCATAACTTATTAATAGTAGGATATAGCACAGCCTTATTCAACTGGGATCGCCAGATCTGTCAGTATCACCAGATGAGCGCTGAAATCATTCTAAAAACGACTTCCCCCTACCTTTTCATTCTTATTCTAATACTTCAAAGAGGAAATACAAAATATTCAGTGAATTGATTTTCTTCATTTTGGAGGGAGCTTGCATTGCTCTTTAGCTTTCAACCACTGAATTTTGACGGTGTGAACTTCAGAGAGAAGAGCTCCAGGATTCATAAGAGTTGTGGGGACTGTGCAGTGGGCTCCAAAAAGTCAAGATTGCGAAGTCAATCCCATAATCAAAGCTGCCATCTTAATATTTTTTTTTAAGGATCTCTTCCCCCCTGTGGACTCCCCAAATGGAAATGAATATGGGTATATTTTCAGAATAGTTCCATTTCTTGGTTCCCAATAAAGGAGAATATTTGTAGCTCAGGGTTGAAATGAGGGGTCCTTGGTGATCTCTGAGCTTGCTTGTTTTCTTGCAGACGTTTCACTACCCAGCACTGATGAGGTTACCTAGTTTGGCTAATGAAAGGTCTACAAGAAAACAACCAAGCTCAGAAAGCACCAAGGACCCCTCCTGTCTTGGTCCATTGATAGGTACACCAGTGAATGTACAAATCTGACAATCTTCTTACATTGGTGGTCACTCAGCATAGTGGCCACAAAATAATGTGCCAGAGCTCTGAAATGATCCGATTTGACTTGAGCCAGTTTTGACCAAGAGTAAGGGATGGTCTCCTTGACCGGTGCTTGACTCATCGCGGTGTCCACAAGCATGTACATCTCTCCAACCTTAAAAACAAAGCAGAAGACCCACGTATGAGCTACTGACTCTATATTAAAAGCTCACTCAAGGCACTCCGTATTGGCGCTGATCAACTTTATAGAGTTATTGGAATCTATACTTAAAGATATTGTTCTCACCAAGGATGAAAAAGAGAAAAGAACTTTAGCAATAATTACAGAGGATCTTGTTTTCTTCACAGATATTCATCACTGAATCTAAAAGGCTGAGACTAACTTTCAGAAAGAAAAGCAGCCCTCTAGTCTTCACTGTTGAAATGAGTTTTGATCTTTTTGATCTACCATGGAGGGGAGGCTCAGGACAGCATTACAAGACCCTCTTCTGCCTCCCTCACATCCCATAATAGGAAAAGCTGTTATAGTATATAATTACGCAGCTTACCTTCGCTACTTCCTGGGCCATTTTTATAAGCGTGAAAAATTCATTCCGTATCCCAGGAAGGCAGATCTGTTCAAAGATGCACTCCTGAGCTTGAGCGAGCATCATCTTGACCAGCACACTCAACATGGCAGGACTCATGTCGTAACTTGGAGTGTGAGTAAAAGTTTCTTTTAGATAGTTCAGAACTCCTGAAATTGGGGAAGAAGCAGAAAAGAGGACTCATAGAGCATCAGTTCCATAGCCTCACGGAAAACACAATGGTGGCTGCATTCAGCCAGTCATCTCTCAGTTTGAATTAGATTTACATGTTTGGGTCACCCAAACATTATTGAGGCAAGTCAAAGCTTGCCTTCAGTACTATTACTTTATTATAAACATTGTCTGGGGGATTCTAGAAGAGTATTTCCCAAACTTGCCAACTTTAAGATGTGTGGACTTCAACTCTCAGGATTCCCCAGTCACCATGATAGCTGGGGAATTCTGGGAGTTGAAGTCCACCCATTTTAGGGTTGCCACGCTTGAAAAGCACTGTTCTAGAAGATGCCGTAAGATGTCCAGTTCTCCTACTTCCAACAACGCACTTCTATAAAGTGTTTTCAATGTTTTTATTTTCATTATTTATTCATTAATTTTTTTTTGCTGCCCATCTCTCCATAAGGGCAAGATATACAATCTTGGAAACAGCCAATTTTCAGCCTTCATTAATGAGTTTATTAATGACGATCTTCTCAACTCCTTAAACCTTTTCCAGCTCAATGGTATTGTCATTTATGAGATAAGCTACTAACAAACTCTACTCTTATCTCTTGGCTCTTTTATGTTCAACATTCCTTCTGTTACTTTTACAGTCATTTATACATTTCTTTAGCGGGTAATTCCCGGCTGTCTAACCACGACATGGCATTTAAAGTTAGGAACTAGGCGATTTTAAAAGAAATAAATCCAAAATTTGGACAAGGTGATTCATTGATATTTGATTATATAGCAATAGCACTTAGACTTACATACTACTTCACTGTGCTTTACAGCCCTCTCTAAATGGTTTACAGAGTCAGCCTCCTGCCCCCAACAATATGGGTCCACATTTCACCGACCTCGGAAGGATGGAAGGCTGAGTCCACCTTGAGCCAGTAAAGATTGAACTGCTGGAAGTCGGCAGAATTAGCCTGCCATACTGCATTCTAACCACTGCACCTGAGTTAACTCTTTTAAACACAGCCCATGCCCACAGCTAACAAAATAACAAGCTACATTTGAAACGACTTCAGCTGTCAGGGAAAACCCTTCAGTATAAGATTATTTATCCTTGGGTTTCCGGCTGAAGCATCAAAGGCTCTTAATGACAGAATGGAGAAGGTAAACATATTTTTTTTGATGTAGCCAAGTTGGACATGTGCAAAAGAATAAGGTGCACGTAACTATATAATTCAGTTTACATATGCTCTTTGGTTTCTACCTGACCCTAAACGAGCAACAAAGAATAAAAAAAAGACAAATAATGTTGGTAGATAAGTTCTAAAATATTTTCCTCCTTATTTCACTAGCATGCCGTGTTTATTATTCATGTTACATGACCCAATCCATTTTTAATAAGAGGAAGGTAAAGGCCCAAACAGGGCAGAAAATGTGTGTGAAGACCTCAATTATTTTCAAATTATTGGAAAACAATTGCAGTTATGCAGTTCCGATTATGAAAGATGGGGACCCCATCTCTATTTTTTTATCTATAATTTCTATTATTTTTTTGATGCAACCTGTCAGCCCAAATATAGGAGGAAGAAATCTTTTGCCTGTATCAGCTCAATCTAGAGCTGTCCACAGGCAGGTAGTCGCTACTGCGACATCGTTTGTATTTCCTAAATTTTTGGATTGCTAACAAAGAATTAAGGTGGACTGGGATAGCTATTTCAAGCTGATTAGCTCTCATTAGCCAGCCATACCCTTCTGCAAGCAGCCCAGGTTCAAATCTCAGAAGGGTATGGCTGGCTGATGAGAGCTAATCAGCTCAAAATAGCTATCCCAGTCCCCCTTAATTCTTTGTTAGCAATCCAAAAATTTAGGATATATATATATAATCAATCAATTCCATCATCATAACAATTGAGAGGAGAGAAAAAAAAAACAAAGGGGCATTTGTGAAATTGAGAAAACTCTGAGCAACTCTGTCAACCTACACTCAACTTTCCCCACAGGGAAACTAAAAGCTCATTCAAGGCTGTGACAATATGACAAATCTGTCAGCAGGCAAACTTTGCCAGACCAAACCAAGTTGGACCTAATTCAAATAAATTCCAAACAAACCAATTCTTTGGGAACCTGAAAAACAAACATTTGCTGAAGCTTCAAATCCGTAGTAGCACTGAGATCAGATAATCAAAAAAAATGCATTGTTCCCAACTGGTTTGTCAAGTTTTATTTCCACAGAAATGGATCGTTGCCCTGAGCCCTGCTTCAAACGTCCTCTCCCACCCACCCAACATTGAGTGATCAGTGTGAAATTACTGTGAAATGCGAACGTGAAGCAATATCAATCTTTAAAGAAACTCCTCATGCCCCACTCAAGCCCATTCTGTCAAATACTCATGTATGCAAACAAACCATGGTTTGCAAATTAAAATGGTAAGGTTCACCCAACATCCTAAGACAAATCTGGACAAATCAAAGTACAATTTGAATCCAACTAGTGATTGGGGATGCTTGCAAATGTGGGTAGCCTTATTAGAAAGCTTGCAGTTCTGATCACCAGATGTCATGGGCTGTTTTATATCACAACTCTGACAAAATGTTTAAAAAATCCCAGAGGGAAAAATTCAGAAACTTCAGATAACGTTTAACCAATTCTGCCACTTCTTAAGGATGTATGAAATGTTTATTTTATTACTCAGAATCCATAATAGAACGTTTGTTCTTTCACCATCTGCTCTTTGGTAATGCCTTCCTGTATGTTTGTATGCTCAGGGTTGTGTTTATAGATGAAAACCTTAGCAACAATCTTTCATTCTGTCCACAAAGGTCCATGGGCAGGGTTTGAATAATATGGCATGACTTTCATCATAACTGAATTCTCAACATCTCCCCCCCCTTTTTTTTTTTTCCAAAAAGCGCCAACGTGTTTTCTGCAAATTTCTTTTCTTCAAAAAATTAGTAATTATTTTCATTAAAGATTATTATCTGGTGGTGATACCGGTGTACTCCATATTGAAAACCATTTTGCACATTATATATACCTACATATGAATTTGCTTCCTCAGTTGAAGGTGGTTGCTCCTAAGATTTTACTATGAAGAGGAACAGGCCTCTGGACTGGCAATAGTAGTAATTATGGGCCTCGGGAGGAATTAAATAAAATATGGATACCATGAACTGAAACTGCAGTAAATTATATACCGATTGATATAAAGCCATTGGAACCGCAGTATATTACAGCCAAGCTCCCCAGTGTGATATAGTCCTCAACATACCATCACAATATTGAACCAAAAATTTCTATTGCTAAGCAAAACAGATATTAATTGAGTTTTGCCCCATTTATCAGCTGCAGGGATTTGCAACTGTTAAGCGAATCCCTGCAGCTGATAAGTTAGTAACCTGGTTAAGTGAATCTGGCTTCCTCATTGATCCGGCTTGTCAGAAAGTTGCAAAAGGGAACCACATGACCCCAGGACTCTGCAATCACAATAAATATGAGCCGGTTGCCAGGCCTCCAAATTCTGATCAGGGGACCATGAAGATGTCGCAATGGTCTTGTGAAAAATAAGTCACTTTTTTCCAGTGCTGTTGTAACTTTGAATGGTAACTAAATGAACTGTTGTAAGTCGGGAACTACCTGTACCTGCTGACTCAGGGTTTCAGGGAATCCTCCTCCGTCCAACCCCTTTTGCAATTCGTGAGTTAGACGGTCATATAATTGGAGCAAACAAACAAGTACTGTATTGCTGAAAATCCACAACAGCCAGAAAGGCATTGGGGCCGCTGCGTAAGATTGCACAATAGTGTTCCAGACCAGAAAAGATTTGCAGATGCCTGCAAATAGCTGGGGGAGGGGGGAAGTTTGATTGCAAAGAATGGAAAGCAGTTAATGATGGACCAAAATTGTACAGGAGGTCAAATTGTAAGTTATTAATTCTCAACAACAACCATTTGCTCTGGCTAAATAGCCTACTTAAGTGCCTTCCATAAATCTGACAGGGAGGAGGCAGAAGGAGTTAATAACAAGTTTTGAAAAGAATGTTTTCACTAAAAAAAAAACAACAACCCCAAAAAACATTCCTTGCTATTCTTGCTTACAGTTCTTTGGGTGTTAATTCTGTCCAAAGAGTTTGAAATTAAGCTCAGACAGTCACATGACCCGGAAGAGAGACAAACCAGAGGAAATCACAATTGCAAACAAGCGGATTAAGCCAATCTCCAGGCATTTCTTTAGGGGAGGGGCTGTGGGGGGGAACCCACCCCCCACCACCCCTCTGGCTCTTACCTGCTGCCTTTTGAAAAGCACTGATGGCCTTTTGAAGCCCGACTCCCGTTTGCCGATTGCATTTGGTGCCAATCTGTGTGTAGAGGGCTCCGATGTTAAATAAAATGCTGGCTTTTTCCAGCAACACATTCTTCTGACACACGGGGACGCCTGTGAAAGAGTCATACCTTCAATAAAAAACAAAGAGAACATAAATGTTAACAACCCAGGGAGATAAAAAAAAAAAGGGGAGAAATGATTTGTTTTACAATGTTTTTAAGATGTTAAAAAAACCCAACAACGGTCTTTTCCTATTAACTCCAATTTAAATCCAAACCTAGTTTGCATGCCAGTTGGTTCAGAAGCTACAGTGATTCATCTCAGTTACAGACTGATTTCCACAATGGACTAAGGCATCCTTGGTTTAACTAGGGCGGGCTGAATAAAATGGTCAACACAACCCGTTAGTTCACAGATAATCACTTTGTAATTTAGCACAGTGTGTGAACCAGACCACCCTTCCAAAGGCAACTGGATTTTCTTTTGTTTTTTAATCAATCAGTCAATCAATCAATCAATTAATCAATCAAAACAGAACTGGAAGGGACCTTGGAGGTCTTCTAGTCCAACCCCTTGCTCAAGCAGGAGACCCTATACCATTCCAGACAAGTGGCTGTCCAGTCTCTTCTTAAAAGCTTCCAGTGATGAAGCACCCACAACTTCTGAAGGCAAGCCATTCCATTGATTAATTGTTCTAATTCTCAGGAAATTTCTCCTTAGTTCTAGGTGACTTCTCTCCTTGGTTAGTTTCCACCAACGAGTAGGCTGACTTGGTCGCTCAACAGTGTGAAACTGGTGAAGCCGGCACAGCAGCGCCTGCATTTTCTGCACCGCATGAGAAAAGCACATCTTCCTTCCCCTGTCATGACCACTTTCTACAGGGACAATCGAGAGCATCCTGTCATACAGCATCACAGTCTGGTTTGGAGGCATCCCTGCTTCAGACAGGAAGGCGGTGCAGAGAGTGGTGAGGACGGCAGAAAAGATCACTGGCAGTTCTCTCCCTCCCATCCAGGACATAGCACAGAAGCGCTGCTTGAGCAGGGTCCGTAAGATTATCTGGGACACTACACACCCTCTCCACGACCTGTGTTTCCTTGTTCCCTTCTGGGAGGAGGGGGCTTCGTGGTATCCGAAGCAGAACATCCAGATTCAGCCAGAGTTTCATTCCCTACAGCATTAACCTTGTGAACTCTCAAGCTTCCTCCTTCCGTTATATATTCAAGATGGACAATATTTAATATTTATTTGCTACATATATGTAGGGATGTGGGTCTATACATATGTTGTTCATAATATGTTTAGGTGTGTGTCATCTATGTGCTTCACTTTGAGAGCGGGCAAATAATTTCATTTTTGTTGTGTGCCATTGTGCCCACAGTATTAAAAATGACAATAAAGGTTATCTTATCTTATCTTCTTCATGGCAGCCATTAAAAATTGGAACACTGCTATCATATCACCTATTCCTTCTTTTCATTAAACCTAACAATGTTTAATTTTAAGAAAGGTCTTACCAAGTATATAAAATGCCCAGATTTCTACTGGGTGAGAAGAACCGATTCTCAACAAAGCCAAGCTGTACGTAATAGCTCATCAGCATCTCAAGTCCAGATTCGTCTCTGCTGGGTGTCCGGCAGGCCTTTGAATAATAGGACAGATATTAGCTATAACGTTGATATGTGGCCCATCTGAATGCTCTTATCTGCTTGGGATTCAGGAAATAATTAAAAACAGGGCTATTTAAAAGGGCCTTTGGGGTATCAGTGTGACAATCTACTTGCATGGTCTTCTAAGACTATCTGTGGCTTAATTATAGTATATTTATTATATAAAATTATTTATATTATATTTGCATATTTTATGCACACACACAGGTAGTCCTCGGCTTCTGACCACATTTGAGCCCAACATTTCTGTTCCTAAGTGAGACAGTTGCTTAGTGAATTTTGCCCCATTTTACGACCTTTCTAGCCACAGTTGTTAAGGGAACTTAACTTGGCTGTTAAGTAAATCAGGCTTCCCCATTGATTTTTTTTGCTTGTCAGAAAGTCATAAAAGGGGATCACATGATCCCTGGGACACTGTAACTGTCATAAATATGAGTCAGTTGCCAAACGTCTGAATTTTGATCAGGTGACCCCAGAGGGATGCTGCAATGGTTTGTAAGTGTGAAAAACTTTGATCGGTCACGAAACATTGTAAGTCAAGGACTACCTGTAAATGTACAATATATGTATATTATATACAAATAACATCTCTATTAAAATTATTTATATAATCCTAGAATTTTTTTTTATCTTGTTCAAATTATGGTCTAAACTTTGGGCAAGTTCCAAACAGTTGTTTTAAATATAACACTGCTGTTTCCCATGCAAAACAGATCTTGGATGCAGAAAAGTCTGTTTTCGGCTATCAAGGTCAAAAGAGCCTCAAAAGGGAAAAAAAAAGAAGAGAAGTAATAATCATTTATTTGCATTTTAAATTTGTATGCCACCTGGCTCCCAATGATTTGTGGGTGGTTCACCACAAATAAAATAACTATAACAAAATTAATTAAAGATAAAGGAAGAGAGGGGAAGGAGTGGTGGCCCGAAAACTAAATGCACTAAAGAGCAATATTGTATTTCCCTTTTATTATATTTAATTAAAATGAGAATAAAATAGGGACAGGCTCTCTCCCCCCCCCCCCCAAGACTGAAAATCAAACAGCCTTCTTAAAACAGAGCCAGCTTACTTGTCTTAAATCCATAAGATCTGCAATTTCATTTTCATATTCTGCACCATCTTCACTGTAATGTTCCAGAATAAAGTCCTGAAAATAATTAAAATAATCCATTAAAATAATAATAATAATTTTTTTTTAAAAAAAGTCTCCAAATCACGTATTTGTTTCATTCAGGCACAGACATAAATTAAAATATGCAACATTCTTCCAAGAGGAACTGAAGAAATCTACCTAAGAGATTTACCCAGAATGATACTTTGAGTTGAGAAGTTGGATTTAAAGATAGACTTCCATTCCATTATACAATGCATTTTGTCTCCCTGACCATCAGCATTTCATTGCAGTATATACCCTCAAACCTAATTTAAACTTCTGGACAATCAATGCTGCATGTTTGTGAGTTATGTCAGAGGATAAACATGTTTCTGAATGTAACAGAGAAAACAGAAAAATGAAAAGCTTAGATTAGAAAAATATATCTATGACCTGATATAGGGAAAGTGTCCACATTAAATAGCATCAGAGTGATTTGTTTTAAAAGTCTCGTGCTGTATATCATAAAAGGTTTCCCAGGAATTCACAAAGTTTATGGGAAGCTAGGTTCCTAAACACTACAATGAAAGCTGTGAATGAAATGTGTATTTTCTTCCGCCCCACCTAACTTAAAAATGTATTTTAAAAGCCAAGATGAACACTATCTCATCAATACAGAGAGTAAACTGGACCGTCTGCTCATGTGACTAGATGATCTTTTGATCTGATTAATGAAGCTATTGCTTAAATTCTTATAGATATTCTGATTTATAGCCTATATTGCAGGCAAACTCTGTCCACATCCTGCAGTTCAATCTTGACGGGGCTCAAGGCTGACTCAGCCTACCATCCTTTCCAAGGTCGGCAAAATGAGGACCTAGATGGTTGGAGGCAATATGCAAACAGTGCTTACCTTGTAAACTGCCCAGAGAGTGCTATAAATCTCTAAGGCAGGGGTCTTCAAACTTGGCCCTTTTATGACTTCTGGACTTCAACTCCCAGAATTCCTCAGCCAGCATGTCTGGCTGAGGAATTCTGGGAGTTGAAGTCCACAAGTCATAAAAGGGCCAAGTTTGAAGACCCCTGCTCTAAGGGGTGATATATAAGTCTAAGTGCTACTGCTATTATACTGAAGTTCCTTGACATCAGTAGTTCTTAAGCTTGGCAACAACTTCCAGATGTTGTGAATGTCAGTTCTCAGAATTCCCCAACCAACGTGGTCATTGGTGAAAATTCTAGAGTTGCCAAACATTGTTTACCTCCACAACTGGCCAGGTAAAAGGGGGTCATCCCAAATTCCAAAGTCTGCTGGACTTGTTTTCTGGTAGGACAGAGGACTAGCAGGTCTGTCCTGTCATTAGGAGAATAACACTCAAAGGGCCCTGGATCCTACCCTTCAGCCAACTAGCTTCCATAGCTAATTTTGACACTTCCTGGCCCTTCCCAAAAAGATGGGCTGCTGGATTTTTACATCTCTTTTATCATCTAGTTCAAAGCACAAAGTCTGGTGCAGTCTCCGATTTTAAAAACAGAAAAGAGACTTGAGGGTGAAATCAAAAGAATAAAGTCCTTAAGTCAGACGTATTCAGCAATTAGGGGAGAGGGAACTCAGATAAAGGCATTGAGAAAGAACTAATTTAATGCAGAGTCTATAAACATTTGCATAGCTACCGGTCAGCAGCTTCTGGATAAATCTAACAACAACAACAAAAAAGGAGTTTTGAAATACCAAAAAGCCATTTTAGGCAAGGAATTCCCATGAAGCCCTATCTCTCTGTCCAAATTTAATCTGATCTGGTTTCTATTGTAATTTGTTAGCTATTTTATTCCTAGGAGAAAGTTTAAATACTTCAGAAGAATACTGGCAATTTATTTTTTATTTTTGAGCAAGTATTTCCTTTATCATGCTTTTTAAATTTATTTATGGGCAAGAGAGCTTAATTCCCTTTAGCGCTGCTGCTTGAAAAAAAATACCTTGAGGGGTACTGCGAAGTCCACATCTTTCGTCTCTTTCAGGCCAAGGGGTATCAGAGGAATGCTAAAAGTTTCCCTGCCGTTAAAAGAAGAAATGCACATTAATATCTTTGATTTACACAGCTGTGGTGGAAAGTTGGTGGCTGAGGAACTGCTGTATATAAATCACTGTCGTGATCTGGACTTCCTCATTTCATTCAGCACTGGCACAAGACACGCCCGTCCCCTGTGGCTTAAAGAACACAACTTTTTCAGGCAAAAGGCCACACTTGATCTTTGACTGGCATAGTGGGGGGCCATGCTCCAAGAAAATATGTGAGCTCCCCATGCAGAATAAAGCAAAGGCAGGCTTAAAACTCAGCTTGCTTTGATTCAGTTTACATTCAGTTCAATGAAAAATAAATTCCAATAATGATATTCGCTTTGTGCTATTCTTCCTTATGTTTTAGTCATGTTTTGGGGTGGTCACAAATATCCACAAGTCTCGAAGGCAACTTTTGCAGAAGTTCTTGGAGCCACAGCAAGAATCCAGGGGCTAAGGGTAACCTGGGACCACCTCCCACTGGCCCATGTTTAATTAGCTGGAGCTAATTAAACTATAACCTGGAGCCAGCCTATTTAAGATAAAAGGATTCCTAAGTAACCTTCCAGAGTTTATACTTTTGTTTACCTGCCTGCCCATCTTAGAACATCCTGCTCCTTACATCCTGCAATCTAGTTACTTAGTTTACAGATGTAATCTTCTCCAACTTCCTAGAAAACCACTGGATTCTAAAAGTTGCCAGTGGAAATACTCACAGGAAAGGGAAATGACCCATCACAGTGAGATGGATTTAGGAAGATAGCCAACGCAGCAAGGATGGGGAGCATAATGACCAATTAGCATGAACAGCAGGAGCAACTGAGCCCTGGAGACTTCTGGTTCTCCAAAGAGATAGAATGACCCCAAAGAACAAAGAATAGTCAGGCTACTAGAAGGAGTATCATAGTCAAGCATCCTTATCTGTTCTTTTGTAAGAAGTAAGGGCAGATCACTTCTCTTCCACATACTGGGGGTGTCCAATCTTGGTAACTTTAGGACTGGTGGACTTCAACTTCCAGAATTCTGGGAATTTCATGGGAAATTCTGGAAGCTGAAGTCCACAGATCTTAAAAGTTGCCAAGGTGGCCACGTACCAAGAGATCCAACTATTCTAGCAAAAAATAAGCAGAGATTCTAAGCATAAATCCATCGCCATCATTTCCACGGGAACATCTATGCATTCCAACGTAACGTTGCTCTTCCCTATTTTCTCCTGGTCCTTCTTTGCCGCTGGCAGGAACAATCCCAAAAGCCATCCCAACAGGAGCAATCTACCACTATTATTTTGAGGCAGCCTGCACTGGAAACAGAAGCACATCTTTCCTTTTGATTTTCAACGTCCTTCTTGTGACCATTTTCGTGAAGCTGCCAACGCTTGTGCACCAGCTTTCTAAGGTCACCAGTGCTCTTGCCAACCCTTGAGATGAATGTAGAGGGCATTCAGTTCCTCCTTCTGACTCTCTGAAATGCCAAATTCACAGGGAGAAAAATGGCAGACGTCCTTCTTCTAAATATCTAACCGAGCTAAGAAACAATCAGGCTCAGAGAAGCATCCAGGACCCCTCATTTCAACTCTGAGCTACAAAGAGAATTCTTTCCCCAGACTGCTACTATGAGTAGCTGCCCAAAAGTCCTTTGCCTTATTCTCTGTAGTTGATGCCATTGAATGCCAGTGAAACAGTAATATCTCATTTGCTTCCAAATAGCGCTGTTGGTTTTTCCAACACTCTTGATACACTCTCCCCATCAAAACCCCAAACTATCGGACGGACCTTTTACAGGAACGCTAAGTTCGGATGTTGTAATGGGAGAGAAACCTCTCAAATGAGCAAGACCAACGATTAGTAAAGGCCATTTTGTGTTTGCCATATTGTAGTACTTGATATTAAATCTTCTGCTGCAAATTCACTCTCTGTTTTTCCTCTTCGCTTCCAGCAGGAGAAGAACTGTCTCTGCCTTTCCTTACTTCATCCAAACCACTTTTTTTTGGCAGTATTAATTACTTTTGAATACTTTTCTCAGAAGCAATTTAAAAAAGCTCTGCCTTAATCCTTGGGCACAGCAGGACCATTTCAGTAATACAGCTTGTTCTTGTTGTCCATTTTGTTTTGTTTTGTTTTTAAAAACAAAATTTCTTTCTTCAGTCTTACATTCTTTGGCTTGTTTGTTTTTGCATCAGGTAGCAAAAAGAAGAGAACATCATTGCAATCATTTTTTTCTTTCACTTACTCCGTGTTCTGATATACCTCCACGGATATATTGAGTCCTTCTAACTCTTCCTTGAGGATCTGTAGGTTGGAATTGACGTAGCTGAGTTCCAGCAGCACCTGTTCTCGTACTTTGGGGCTGGTCGTTGCACTGCCAAAGGAAAAATTAAAAGTTTGGAGAACAATCACTTAATAACTTAAGAATGAGCCTTGCATACATTTTCTCTATTTTTAAAAATTATTTCCTTGTATATATATATTTCTTTTTATGACCCTGTAATCCCTTTTATTGGGATGGAATCAGGGCAACTGAATGGAGCTGAACATTTGCCAGCCAGATGCCCTTCCTGACACCTATGCAGAGTTCACAGCATATATTCTCTCATTGCACTCTGTCTGTTGCGCCGCTCAGACTGTTTCCTTATAATATTTCCCTATTATTTCCCTTTCCTATTTTCTCTATTTTTCAGATTATTCCAGCACCGACATATTGATAAGTCCTCAAAAGTGATGTAAGATTGTTTTTCACACTCACAACTGTTGCAACATCCCCGCAGTCACGTGATCAAAATTCAGAGGCTTGGCAACTGACTAGTCTTTATGACAGTTGCAGTGTCCTGGGGTCATGTGATCACCGTGGTGGCGCAGTAGTTAGAATGCAGTACTGCAGGCTACTTCTGCTGACTGCCGGCTGCCAGCAGTTCGATTCTCACCAGCTCAAGGTTGACTCAGCCTTCTGTCCTTCTGAGGATGAGGGCCCAGATTGTTGGGGGCTCCTGTGCTGACTCTGTAAGCCGCTTAGAGAGGGCTGTAAAGCACTGTGAAGCGGTATATAAGTCTAAGTCAGTGGTTCTCAACCTTTTTAATGCCGCGACCCCCAACCGGTCGTAAGTCGAGGACTAAACCGGTCGTAAGTCGAGGACTACCCAACCGGTCGTAAGTCGAGGACTTTCCCTGCCTGGGAGCGCCGCGCATGTGTGGTTCCGCCCCCTGCGCCGGCCGAGGCGTAGTTGGCAAGCAGCAGAGACGGAGCAGGCCGACCACTAGCTGGCCCAGCTCAAGGGAGGTAAGGCACCTGCCGGAAAAGGGGAAAAAAATGGCGGACAGCCTTGCTTGGCGACCCCGTGAAATGGTCAATCGACCCCAAATGGGGTCCCGACCCACAGGTTGAGAACCACTGGTCTAAGTGCTATTGCTATTTTGCAAACTTCTGACAAGCAAAATTAATGGGGAAGCCAAATTCACTTACCAGCCGTGTTACTAGGTCAATGATGGCAAACCTTTTAGAGCTGAGTGCCCAAACTGCAACCCAAAACCCACTTATGCATCGTCGAGTGTTGTGGCCCATTGGGTGGGCGTGGCTGCAGTGGTAACGGCAGACTGGGTGGGACTAAAATGTTCAATCAATCAATTCCAACTTTGCAAGATCTTTTTTTTTCCCCGCGAGAAGTTGAAATTGACTGATTGAACCTTTTTTTTTTTTTTTGCACACGGCGGCGGAGGCCTAAAGTGAAAAGGTTTTATAAAACCCAGCTGAAGGCCTAGGACTGGGGCGACGGCGCGCGTGCCCACAGAGAGGGCTCTGAGTGCCGCCTCTGGCACCCGTGCCATAGGTTCGCCCCCACTGTACTAGGTTAACAACTGAAGTGCAAAACTCTCTTAGCAACTGTCTTGCTTAGCAATGGAAATTTTGAACTCAGCTGTGATCCTAAGCTGATAACTACTGTAAACTGAAGAAGGATAATGTGGTCAAAAGCATCCCGTTGCATCAAATGGCACACAGCAACGGGCCTGTTTTGAAAGGAAACCATATAGAAAGAGAAGCAGGAGAAGGTCGGTGGGAGAGCAGATACCTCCTTTGAGAGGGAACAGTGAAAACATTATGTAAATCGGCATGCCAAGCTCTGTCTTCTATTTATTCTCAATAAGGTGTTGGAGCGAACGGGGCTGCTGGCTGGGAAGTGAGAGGCTGCTCCTGTTGAGAAGGACAAAGGCTGCATTTTGTGACTGTGGGCATAAAAGAGAGGGAACTCGTGGGAACATACCGGAGGAGGTTTTCTGCGCCAGCTCTCATCCTCACCGCTTTCAGAATCTGCTGGTTTAGGACAGCTCTCCGCTTTTGCAATTTACTCCGGCCGGTCTCTGCGAGGGGGTTGCATCCCTGAATAACAGGAAAGATATCCTTTATCAAAAGGGCAAGACCACAGAAAGAAAGAAGGAAGCCCAATTCTCCCCCACCCCCCCAAAAATAAAGCCTATCTCTAGCCGTTTAGAAACAACTGAGTTCACGCAGAAAAATAGTCCTCCGTCTTCTTGAGAAAGAAGATGCAATAGGGGATGGCGACCGAAGTCCCGCATCTGTAGCAAGAGGGGGGGACTCCAGATGAGGGGGAATTCCAGATGTTGCAGACCTACTGCTCCCAGCAGCCCCTGCCAGGATGGCCAAAGGTGAGGGATGCTGGGAATCGAGGTGCAGCAATTATCTGAGTAGAGTCAAGGCCAGTCTCCTGTCCTTCTGTAACTTTTGGGAAGAGTTTCCAAAAATGGGTTCTGCAACAAACACCTGAAAGATATTAGTCCGTTTCCTTCCCTTCTGATTTTCTTTTTTCTCCCAATAATCAGCTTTTGCAGCCATTCTTCTTATGTAGGCATTTTGCTTCTCCATGGTTTGTGGGGTTATTCCTAGCACACGTCTACTCTTGAAATTTCCTATTATTTCCCACTAATATTTCCCTGATGTTGCCATGAAAACATGCACTGACCTACCCATCACTTTAATAAATGTTTTAAATATTAGGAACTATTATGCTATTTCCTTTCTTTTCCTCCTGATTTTATGGGAACCATAAGCTCCAAATGTCCTGTGATTTAAGATGTTGCATTACAGGCGAGCCTCACTTAGGGACCGTCACTTAGTGGCTAATCAAGATACAATGGACTTCCCCAGAGCTACTTATGTAGTATGGCTGTATTATTATTATCATGCTCCCCAACTTCTTTACTACCTTCTTTTATTGGTATCATTACAGGTAGTCCTTGACTTACGACCACAATTGAGCCCAAGATTTCTGTTGTTAAGTGAGACATTTGTTAAATGAGTTTTGCCCCTTTTTACGACCTTTCTTGCCACAGTTGTTAAGTGAATCCCTGCAGCTGAAAAGTTAGTAACCCAGTTGTTAAGTGAATCTGGCTTCCCCGTTGACTTTGCTTGTCAGAAGCTCTCAAAAGGGGATCACGTGACCCTGGGACTCTGCAACTGTCATAAGTACATGCCAGTTGCCAAGCATCTGAATTTTGACCACATGATCTTGGGGATGCTACAACGGTCATAAGTGTGAAAAATGGTTATAAGCAGTGGTGGGATTCAAATATGTAAACAACCGGCTCTCTGTGTGGATGCCACTTCCAGAAGTCCGTTCTGTGCCTGGGCAATTAAAAAATTAGCTACCGGTTCTGCCGACGTGGTGCGAACCAGCTGAATCCCACCACTGGTTATAAGTCACTTTTTTCAACTTTGAACGGTCACTAAATGTGATAAGTGTGGTAAATCGAGGACTGCCTGGATTATGATCATTGTTACTGTCTTGCTTTGCATGTATACTGAGAGCTTTTGCACTGGAGACAAATTTCTTGTGTGTTGAATCACACTTGGCCAATAAAGTATTCTATTCTATTATGAGCCATTTTCTGAGTTCGGACAGCTACACACACACACACCCCTCCTGTGTGTCTGCTGTCCCTGATGGAGGATCCCATGCGGTCTCACAAGGACTGAGTCTTCACATCTCACTAAACCAAGATGAAATTCAGCATTTTGTACTGAATTACCAGCTACCGTTGACTGAATCTACTCTTTGTGTTATGCCATAAACATGGCACACAAAGTGCAAAGATTGGCACATTGCAATTATGCCAGTAGCAACAAAACCACAGTGAGGCCGAGCTAAATGTTAGCTCCATTGCCAGCAAATCCAGTCTTCAAGATCTGGAAATCTTCAAACTCCTCTTATGTAATGGCATAGGATGACAGAAATTGAACAAGCCACATCCTGAAAACTGACCTATGGATTGTGGTCCTTCAAAAGGAAGTGTTGCCTTCAAATGACCTGGTGTTTCATTTCATTCAAGAGATGTTATCAAACCTCACTGCCATACCTCCAATCTCCTTTTGCTTTGTTTTTCATCAACCAGACTAGAAACAGATCAAAACAGCAGATAGTTGACCTTACTTCTCAAAAAAAAAAAAAAAAAACCCTCTCCAAATGTAAGGCTGTCACCTTGGTATGTGAGAACATTTCACTTTTATGTATTGTTTCAATCCACAAACAGGAATTCCAAGCATTTTTTTTTTAGCCTAGGCTATCTGGATATCTGAAATTCTAACTACCCTAGAAAGACACCATAATGACTTCCTTAAGTTTCTTTTAGAAAATCTTGCTTAGGTAAAAAAAAACCCTTATCTTCATTCTTGTCAAGATATCACAAAAAGAAAACTAGAAGACACTGCACTTCTGCTGTTTGTGTGTGTGTTTTAAATAAAACAGTTTTATTTTGTGGCTACTCTCTCACCGAAAGATAAGAAATTCAAACATGGTTAGGACTGCAGAACAGGTTAGACAGTTTGCTTAACTAGAACAAACATCAATGAAGGGCAGTAAAGCTTCAAAACCAAGGGAAGATCAAAAGCCAAGGCCATCAAATCTGGCAGACCCTCAAAACCTGGTTCCAATATCTAAAGGGCTGCCACAAAGAGGGGGTGGGTGTCAAGCTATTCTCCAAGGCGCCTGAAGGCAGGACAAGAAGCAATGGATGAAAACTAATCAAGGAGAGAAGCAACCTAAAGAGAAATTGCCTTGACAGTGAGAACAACTAACCCGAAGTTGTGGATGCTCCATCACTGGAGGCTTTTAAGAGGTTGGACAACCATTTGTGTGAAATGGTATAGGGTTTCCTGCTTGAGCAGGAGTTGGACTAGAAGACCTCCAAGATCCCTTCCAACTCTTGTTATTTTGTTATTCTGTTGATTTATTTCAGTGGTCTTCGAGAGCTGGAAGTCCCTTCCCTTCTCCAAGTCAATGCTATTCCCTTGTTACAACTGCGGTTTCTTTGTGTGTGTGTGTGTGTGTGTGTGTGTGTGTGTATGTGTCTGCCTTCAAATCAGTTTTTGATTCCTAGTGACTCCTGAACTAGACGCCTGCAGTTTTCCTGGCAAGATTTTGGAGGTGTGGTTTGCCATTGCCACTTTTATAGGGCTGAAAGAGAAGGACTGGCTCAAGGTCACCCAGCTGGTTTTGTGCCCAAGGCAGGACTAGAATTCCCAATCTGCCAGTATTTAGCCTGGTTCACTAATAGCACTGAAGTGCTCTCTTCATTTTCTATGCAATTCCAGATGGATACTACAGGTAGCCTTTGACTTACAACAGTTTGTTAATAACTGTTCAAAGTTACAATGGCACTGAAAAAAGTGACTCGTGACCATTTTTCACATTTACGACCAGCATCCCCACAGTCACGTGACCAAAATTCAGACGCTTGGCAACTAGTTCATATTTAGGACGGTTGCCGCGTCCCAGGGTCACGTGATCCGTTTTTGTGACTTTCTGACAAGCAAAGTCAACAGGGAAGCCACTGAACAACCCTGTTACTCACTTCACAACTGCAATGATTCACTTAACAACTGTGGCAAGAAAGGCTGTAAAGTGGAGCAAAACTCATTTAACAAATGTTTCCCTTAGCAACATTTAAGTTTTGGGGCTGAGTTGTAGTCGTAAGCCGAGGACTAGCTGAGTATCAGTGGCATGATGAGAAATAGAAATGGGTAGTCAACATGGTCCACTAAGATTGGAGCAGAAGCCGTGGACAGTAATCAGAACCGACGGACTCTACTTGACCTTTGACAGATAACCAAGGATCTCGAACCAGATTCTGAGTCCATAAGCCAAAGTGTTCTCACTGAGTCCTTATTTCTGAACATGTTTCTGATCAGTCTCTACATGGACCATGGACCGGTCTTCAGTTCCTCCCTCTTGATCCAGCCTATATCCCATGTCAACGAAAGGAGATATTACTGTTCCTCTTATTCCTTGCCTTACTGAAACAGATCAACCTGTTGTTTTGAGGTGACCTGTTTTCTTTTCAAAAAAGGGGACAGCAAGAAGGCTTGGCCTAAAAAAGATTTGATGAAAAACACGGATGTCCATTGAGGTACCTTTGAGAAAAGAATGGTATTCTGCTTGCAGGAGTTAAAGTTACCATTGGAAGTTAATGACTTGCATCGGGAATCTAGTAAAAGCAAAGCTGGGCAAATATTAACCAGTATATAAAAGGAGAGTTCCTGTCCTCCTTAACACGTCCCTTGGAGAAAAAGCTGTCCAATGTCTTAAAATGCCTGAAGAATAAGATAGAGTCTGACATGACAATCTTATCTCTAAGAAATGAACAATAGAAGCAAGAAAGTTAATGTCTGCCCGGCTAGGCCAAGCATTTAAAAACTACTTGCCTCCCATTTAAATAAAGCCCAATTTATTATTATTTTTTTCTTTCTTTTTTAGGGGGAAGGGTCCTTGGGAAAAGAAAGGTCCATGTTGCCGATTTGCATTCTGAAAAGGGTCAAGTTTTTGTCTCTAAGCCTTAGAAATAAAGAGGTTATTTGTTATTGAAATCTCTGCAGAGCTTGAATCAATATTCACAGTTAGCAACTGAACTAAATCGCTAAGCAATCAAGGTGCCACTTTTTAAAAAATTCTTTTTAAAAATAATCATTGGAAAAAAAGGAGAATGTGATGCCTGCAGACAGATTGACTGATTGGGTCTATTGAAATGTTTATTGATGGAACCAATGACTGATGGAAATGCAGAATACAGTCCATTAGGATGTTGTTTTGCAACAGATATGCCACAGAAAGAAAATTTAGCCTTTCAGTGGATGCAGATCTCAATTTTAAAAAAAACAAAAAAAACTTCCTAATGTATTATATTGAAAGAATGGAGATGTTTGTGTCCTAGCTCAATAGAAAAACTTCCTAATGCATCACATTGGAAGAATGGAGAAGCCTGTGGCCTACCTAACATCTATTACATGGAGTATTTCTCCTCCTTAATTGCTTCTCAAGAAAACTGCCTTCATTTCCCTAGGGCTGCGAATCATTGAATATTAGCATGACACACTACATTTTATTATTTATTACATTCTAGAAA